GCTTTATCTGGTAGGATAAAAAATAGTTTAGTTTTCTTTGCATTTTTTTAAGTGATTTGCTTACCTTACCTATACTCTGCACTGCTGCAGTGTATTGTATTGTTTGTTGTTCTGTAACGATCTGACTTGCTCTTACTGTTTGTTATTCTGTAACGTTCAGATTTGCTCTTACTGTTTGTTGTTCTGTAACGTTCTGACTTGCTCTTACTGCTTGTTGTTCTGTAATCTTCTGACTTGCTCTTACTGTTTGTGTTCTGTAACGTTCTGACTTGCTCTTACTGTTTGTGCTCTGTAACGTTCTGACTTGCTCTTACTGCTTGTTGTTCTGTAATGTTCTGACTTGCTCTTACTGTTTGTGCTCTGTAACGTTCTGACTTGCTCTTACTGTTTGTTGTTCTGTAACGTTCTGACTTGCTCTTACTGTTGTTCTGTAATGTTCTGATTTGCTCTTACTGTTTGTGTTCTGTAACGTTCTGACTTGCTCTTACTGTTGTTCTGTAACGTTCTGACTTGCTCTTACTGTTTGTTGTTCTGTAATGTTCTGACTTGCTCTTACTGTTGTTCTGTAACGTTCTGACTTGCTCTTACTGTTTGTTGTTCTGTAACGTTCTGACTTGCACTTACTGTTTGTTGTTTTGTAACGTTCTGACTTGCTCTTACTCTTTGTTGTTCTGTAACGATCTGACTTGCTCTTACTGTTTGTTGTTCTGTAACGTTCTGACTTGCTCTTACTGCTTGTTGTTCTGTAACGTTCTGAGTTGCTCTTACTGTTTGTTGTTCTGTAACGTTCTGACTTGCTCTTACTGTTTGTTGTTCTGTAACGTTCTGACTTGCTCTTACTGTTGTTCTGTAACGTTCTGACTTGCTCTTACAGTTTGTTGTTCTGTAACGTTCTGACTTGCTCTTACTGTTGTTCTGTAACGTTCTGACTTGCTCTTAATCTTTGTTGTTCTGTAACGTTCTGACTTGCTCTTACTGTTTGTTGTTCTGTAACGTTCTGACTTGCTCTTACTGTTTGTTGTTCTGTAACGTTCTGACTTGCTCTTACTGTTTGTTGTTCTGTAACGTTCTGACTTGCTCTTACTGTTTGTTGTTCTGTAACGTTCTGACTTGCTCTTACTGTTTGTGTTCTGTAACGTTCTGACTTGCTCTTACTGTTTGTTGTTCTGTAATGTTCTGACTTGCTCTTACTGTTTGTTGTTCTGTAACGTTCTGACTTGCTCTTACTGTTTGTTGTTCTGTAACGTTCTGAGTTGCTCTTACTGTTTGTTGTTCTGTAACGTTCTGACTTGCTCTTACTGTTTGTTGTTCTGTAACGTTCTGACTTGCTCTTACTGTTTGTGTTCTGTAACGTTCTGACTTGCTCTTACTGTTGTTCTGTAACGTTCTGACTTGCTCTTACTGCTTGTTGTTCTGTAACGTTCTGACTTACTCTTACTGTTTGTTGTTCTGTAACGTTCTGACTTGCTCTTACTTGTGTTCTGTAACGTTCTGACTTGCTCTTACTGTTGTTCTGTAACGTTCTGACTTGCTCTTACTGTTTGTTGTTCTGTAACGTTCTGACTTGCTCTTACTGTTGTTCTGTAATGTTCTGATTTGCTCTTACTGTTTGTGTTCTGTAACGTTCTGACTTGCTCTTACTGTTGTTCTGTAACGTTCTGACTTGCTCTTACTGTTTGTTGTTCTGTAATGTTCTGACTTGCTCTTACTGTTGTTCTGTAACGTTCTGACTTGCTCTTACTGTTTGTTGTTCTGTAACGTTCTGACTTGCACTTACTGTTTGTTGTTTTGTAACGTTCTGACTTGCTCTTACTCTTTGTTGTTCTGTAACGATCTGACTTGCTCTTACTGTTTGTTGTTCTGTAACGTTCTGACTTGCTCTTACTGCTTGTTGTTCTGTAACGTTCTGAGTTGCTCTTACTGTTTGTTGTTCTGTAACGTTCTGACTTGCTCTTACTGTTTGTTGTTCTTTAACGTTCTGACTTGCTCTTACTGTTGTTCTGTAACGTTCTGACTTGCTCTTACTGTTTGTTGTTCTGTAACGTTCTGACTTGCTCTTACTGTTGTTCTGTAACGTTCTGACTTGCTCTTAATCTTTGTTGTTCTGTAACGTTCTGACTTGCTCTTACTGTTTGTTGTTCTGTAACGTTCTGACTTGCTCTTACTGTTTGTTGTTCTGTAACGTTCTGACTTGCTCTTACTGTTTGTTGTTCTGTAACGTTCTGACTTGCTCTTACTGTTTGTTGTTCTGTAACGTTCTGACTTGCTCTTACTGTTTGTGTTCTGTAACGTTCTGACTTGCTCTTACTGTTTGTTGTTCTGTAATGTTCTGACTTGCTCTTACTGTTTGTTGTTCTGTAACGTTCTGACTTGCTCTTACTGTTTGTTGTTCTGTAACGTTCTGAGTTGCTCTTACTGTTTGTTGTTCTGTAACGTTCTGACTTGCTCTTACTGTTTGTTGTTCTGTAACGTTCTGACTTGCTCTTACTGTTTGTGTTCTGTAACGTTCTGACTTGCTCTTACTGTTGTTCTGTAACGTTCTGACTTGCTCTTACTGCTTGTTGTTCTGTAACGTTCTGACTTGCTCTTACTGTTTGTTGTTCTGTAACGTTCTGACTTGCTCTTACTTGTGTTCTGTAACGTTCTGACTTGCTCTTACTGTTGTTCTGTAATGTTCTGACTTGCTCTTACTGTTTGTGTTCTGTAACGGTCTGACTTGCTCTTACTGTTTGTTGTTCTGTAATGTTCTGACTTGCTCTTACTGTTGTTCTGTAACGTTCTGACTTGCTCTTACTGTTTGTTGTTCTGTAACGTTCTGACTTGCTCTTACTGTTGTTCTGTAACGTTCTGACTTGCTCTTACTGTTGTTCTGTAACGTTCTGACTTGCTCTTACTGTTTGTTGTTCTGTAACGTTCTGACTTGCTCTTACTCTTTGTTGTTCTGTAACGATCTGACTTGCTCTTACTCTTTGTTGTTCTGTAACGTTCTGACTTGCTCTTACTGCTTGTTGTTCTGTAACGTTCTGACTTGCTCTTACTGTTTGTGTTCTGTAACGTTCTGACTTGCTCTTACTGCTTGTTGTTCTGTAACGTTCTGACTTGCTCTTACTGTTTGTGTTCTGTAACGTTCTGACTTGCTCTTACTGGTTGTTGTTCTGTAACGTTCTGACTTGCTCTTACTGTTTGTGTTCTGTAACGTTCTGACTTGCTCTTGCTGTTGTTCTGTAACGTTCTGACTTGCTCTTACTGTTTGTGTTCTGTAACTTTCTGACTTGCTCTTACTGGTTGTTGTTCTGTAACGTTCTGACTTGCTCTTACTGTTTGTGTTCTGTAACGTTCTGACTTGCTCTTACTGTTGTTCTGTAACGTTCTGACTTGCTCTTACTGTTTGTGTTCTGTAACGTTCTGACTTGCTCTTACTCTTTGTTGTTCTGTAACGTTCTGACTTGCTCTTACTCTTTGTTGTTCTGTAACGTTCTGACTTGCTCTTACTGTTTGTGTTCTGTAACGTTCTGACTTGCTCTTACTGTTTGTGTTCTGTAACGTTCTGACTTGCTCTTACTGCTTGTTGTTCTGTAACCTTCTGACCTGCTCTTACTGGACACATGTGAAAAAGAGCTGTGTAGCTCATCGGATTCCTCCAGAATAAAAACATATTCTCATTTCTGAATGTCCAGATCGCTCCGTAACAAGCTCCAGGTTCAACAGCAGAGTATCCAACTCCTCAGAATTGGCAACAATAGCCAGGACATCGGCACGCATATACATGGATGTCCAGTAAGGCGCTATCTCTGGACTGCACCCAAACATTGATCAGCCACCCACTTTGCGTACTGTAACAGATGCAACTTCTACTGGTACAGACATAAAACGCGACTCGAAACGATGCCATTGTAACGTGTCAACAGGAAATGTCCTCGGACTGCCAGGGCGCGTAGCTTTACCCATCGTGGAGGTCCATAATGATCGTGAGCAGAGGGCCAGGTACCGCAAAAGCACAATGAACAACCCAAAGGCCGAATACCTCCGGATGCTACCATCGGTCTTAACCATTTAATGGGATAGATGTTCGCTCCTGTTGACATTCCCTACACCTCTGCTGCAGCAGACAGACAGACGTACAGAGACTGGCATCCGTGCCCCGGTCTGATACCACATCGGGGCTCCGCAAGTTTCTCCTCGGCGTGCTGCCTGGCAAGGCGATGTTGAATCATCCTCCTTGCAAGGATCTTAAACGTTTCCAACGACTGGGTTCACTGCACTGATTGTAACAGCCGATTGATTGTAACAGAGATATATGCACACGCAGATATTACACATACATACACACAAACAGATCAGAATTAAAATATGAATTTATACTGGAGGAATCCGATGAGCTATAAAGCTCTTTTTCACAGATGTCCAGTAGAACCAGAGAATACACACTGCCACACGTATACAGAAATACACCCCTAAACACAATACGAAGACAAAGCTCCCCCGTATAGCCTTTAACAGACTGTTGGGGCAAGTGCTGTTAGCGAGCACCTATGAAGACCGGCACGGCACACAAGGGGGGTAGGTGGTCAGCAGCACGCCCGACCGCCTTTGTCTCCCTAGTGGTCGATGTTTACACACCGCGCCAGGTACTCATTTCAGGCTGAGTCGACCTAGGGGAGGAGGCCCAGGACCGGTTTTAGATCATCGTCACCGGTGTTGGTGGCCGTGAGCGGGAATCGAACTCGGGTCGCCGGGTTCGTAGCGCAGCGTGGCGCTAACCTCTACACCACCGCTCCCCACCTCTACACTCGACAGACAAGACGAGCTATTATTTAGAACAGTCTTGATTTAAAGTTTTCGTGACTACAGGGATCCATACTCTTTGGGTCTTTCGGCAAGTCATGAAATAAATGTATAAAATAAATGTCTTTTATTTTATACCTACGTGACTTTACCGAAATAACCAAAGAGAACAGGTTTTACAACAACAAAAAAGTCTCACGTGGAGAGTCGCTTACCGGCTTGGGTGTTTGAGGGCAAGCTTGGCTGAAGGAGGCTGCTACGTCCTGGTAGGACGTCGATTTTGTTATCCGCGAATGAATCGCGCAAACCGATCCATTACCTTCGCATCGTCTTAACACCAGCGATGAGCAGCAGCAGAAACCAAAACACCACAACGCCTCTTTTTTGTATTCTTCAACAATGCGGTCCGACTGGTATAGGAATCCTGCGCGATGACGATGCCAGCGATGGTTCCTGTGTGGGAGTGTTTGTGCGAGTGTGGGAGTGTAATATGGAGCGTGCAAATGTGTGTAGGAGAACACGCGTGTCTTACGCTTCGGCACAAACGCGGTGGTGGAGTTATCATCATAGTGGTGGATGTGTGGTGTGGGTGGTGTGTGGGTGTGTGGTTGTGTAGGTGGTGTGTGTGGGTGGGTGTGTGGTGTGTGTGTGTGTGTGGGTGTGTGGGTGATGTGTGTGGGTGGGTGGGTGTGTGGGTGGTGTGTGGGTGTGTGGGTGGTGTGTGTGGGTGGGTGTGTGGGTGGTGTGTGGGTGGGTGTGTAGGTGTGTATGTGGTGTGTGGGGTGTGTGGGTGTGTAGGTGGTGTGTGTGGGTGGATGTGTGGTGTGTGGGTGTGTGGGTGTGTAGGTGGTGTGTGTGGGTGGGTGTGTGGTGTGTGTATGTGTAGGTGGTGTGTGTGGGTGGGTGTGTGGTGTGTGTGTGTGGGTGTGTAGGTGGTGTGTGTGGGTGGATGTGTGTGTGTGGGTGTGTAGATGGTGTGTGTGTATAGGTGGTGTTTGTGGGTGTGTGGGTGGATGTGTGTGTGTGTGGATGTGTGCGTGTGTGGGTGTGTGGGTGTGTGTGTGTGGATGTGTGTGGGTGTGTGGGTGGTTGTGTGGATGTGTGGGTGGATGTGTGGTGTGTGTGTGTGTGTGCTTGGGGAGCGGTCGTGGTTCGCGCTACGCTGCGCTACGAACCCGGCCACCCGAGTTCGATTCCCGCTCAGGGCCTACACCGGTGACGGTGAACCGGTGCCTGCGCCTCCTCCCCTAGGTCGACTCGGCCTTAAATGACAACCCGGTGCGGTGTGCAGTAAACATCGCCACCGGGGAGACAAAGGCGGCCGGGCGTGGTGCTGGCCACCCACCCCCTCGTGCGCCCTGCCCACCTTCATAGGTGCTCGCTAACAGCACTTGCCCCGACAGTCTGTCGGGGCTATACGAGGGATCTTTGTCTTTGTTGTGTGTAGGCGGTGCAACTGCGCTGGTGATGGGGGGGATGGGGTGGGGGGGATGGGGGGCATGGGGGGGGATGGAGGGGGATGGGGGGGATGGAGGGGGATGGGGGGGATGGAGGGGGATGGGGGGGATGGAGGGGGATGGGGGGGATGGGGGGGGATGGGGGGGGGGCAGCCACATCGTGGGGGGTGGGACTCTGAGTGACCTCCCCCCTCACTATCAGGGCCGTCTCTAAGTGGGGATTGGGCTATGAAACTCACACTCAACCGGCAGTATGACATCTCACACACCGTGACGTCCAAACGCGGGGCTTCCCCCAAAGCGCGGGTCCCGGGGCGGTCGCCCCGACTCGCCGTGCTCTAGACTCGACTCTGCACCGCCCCCACCCACCCACCCCATTCTCGTCTTCTACCCTCTGGTGAAGACAAGCAGGTCACCCCTTTACATTCTTACAGTCACGTCAAAACTATGTTGCTCGAATATTTCGTCGCAGAATGACATGGCAAACAAACAAAATCAGAAGAACGTACACGGTTTGTTGTTTTTTCGCATTTAACATTTGTTTTTGACGCTTTGCTTTGCATCTTCTCTGCGGTGTCCTTCCTCAATGTTTAGCATTAACATGTATTGTTTAAACAACAACAACAACAACAGCAGCAGTCCTGCAATTGTTCGCTCAAGCCACTGCTGGCGGAATGGCCTCCGCTGCAGGGAGTACCGGATCGTATTTGGCCTACTCTTTCTATTCCACACTGGCTATACATGTGTTGGAATAAGTTTGTGGAGTACCCACACTGCAACCCACCACGCGACCTGCCAATCCAACTATCAGAATCAGAATATGTATTTATACTGGAGGAATCCGATGAGCTAAAAAGCTCTTTTCCACAGACGTTCAGTAGTTTCACAGATGTCCAGACTCGCTGTGGGTGTACCCAGTTACACTGCTGCTGGGTGGCCAGAGGCGCGAGGAATTTAGGAAATTAACTTCCCACCCAACCCTTGGGTGCAGGGAGATGGACTTGAACCTGTTGATAGCTCAGTGGACTTTACCTTGTAAGATAAAAACACATATTTTACTTATATATTTGTTCAAGCGGTTTGTTTTCCTCTCCGATACTCCTGCCGTATTTTGTAGTGTGTGTTGCTCTGCAAAAAGCTTTATAGCTCATCGGATTCCTCCACCATAAATGCATATTACGATTCTGTAACCTCGGAATTGCCGGTCCCGTGTGCTATCCAACACTGTAGGTGGTGGACTCTACCAAGGGTGCGTCCTGTCTCCACTCCTGTTTGTGATTTTCATGGACAGGATATCAAGACACAGCCGAGGTATGTAGAGTATCCAGTACGGGGGCATGGAGGTGGCGTCGCTGCTTTTTGCAGATGACGTTGTCCTCTTTGCCTCGTCAGTCTGTGATCTCCAGCGTGCACTTGAACATTTTGATGCCGAGTGTGAAGCGCCTGGGATGAGGATCAGCACCTCCAAATCTGAGGTCTTGGTTCACTCCCAGGATACGGTGGATTGTGCTCTCCAGGTGAGGGAGGAACAGCTGCCCTTCGTGGAGAAGTTTAAGTACCTTGGGGTCTCTTTCGCGAGTGATGGTAAGTGGGAGCGGGAGATCGGCCGGCGGATCGGTGCGGCGTCCGCAGTGTTGCGGGCACTGTACCGTTCCGTGGTAGTGACGCGGGAGCTGAGTTCTCGGACAAAGCTCATAGTTTACAGGTCGATCGACGTTCACACCCTCACCTATGGTCATGAGCTTTGAGTAACGACCGAAAGGATGAGATCGCAGGTTACAAGGGGCCGAAATGAGGTTTCTTCGCAGGGTTGCCGGGCTCACTCTCCGTGATCGGATGAGGAGCACGGTAATCTGGGAGAGCCTCCGAGTCGAGCCGCTGCTCCTTCAGATCGAGAGGAGCCAGTTGAGGTGGTTCGGGCACCTGGTAAGCATGCCCCCCGGTAGACTCCCCCTGGAACGCTACCGGGCATGTCCCGCTGGGCGTAGACCCCGGGGCCGGCCCAGGACACGCTGGCGGGACTGTCGCTCAGCTGACCTGGGAACGCCTGAGAATTCACCAAGAAGAACTATAATCTGTCGCCAGGGAAAGGGAGGTTTGGACCGCCCTACTCAACATGCTGTCGCCACGACCCTCACCAGCACAAACGGACTGAGAAACGAACGTACGAATAAACCTCACTTTCAAAATATTACGTTTTAGTGAATTAAATGGTGGTCACAAGACATCTGGACCATTCTGTACAGGAGGGTCCACTGTCATAATGATTAAAAATAAACTTTTTTTGAAGAGGGTTTTTTTAGTTTATACTTCGTGGGGGCAGGGCTCGGCTTGTTAGCCCCGAGCTTTTCGTGGAAATTCCACGCGTTACAACACCTCCGATGAGCACGGATGGCTCATACATACGGTGCGAAAGAAGTCCAACATACATGCATACACACGGGACTCGTAACGCTTCAGAAAAACCACCCGCTGGTGACTGCCCCACAATGTAATCATCCATGTACTCATTTTATCCACCACCACAAAAATGAAATGCCGAGTCAACCCTTCCAAACAGGATTTGAGACACTAGTGCAGTGGTTCCCCACCGTTACTGCAGCTTTGCACCCCTTTGGTGCCAAATCTTTAAAGAAGTTTGAATTGTTTGTTCTCAATTCACGTCTTCCCCCCTTCCGCCCCTCAATGTAATTTACAAGCGCGCATCTTTCCACACATTCTTCGCGCACTTTTAACTTTTTATTCCATTCTTTGGTGCTTTCGGTAAATAATTATTACATAATTATTACATAATTATTATTTTTTATTTCTACGTGACTTTACCGAAAGAACCAAAGAATAATTCCTGCAGTCACGAAAGCACCAAATCGAGTTTTTATTCCATAATATAATTCGTTGTTGTTGATGCGCCTCTGTATCACTTTTCACGTCACGTGTTCACATGACCTCCGCCACCACTAGAGGGCGTTACATTCGGCACGTAACTCAAAACAATAACGATACATCATCCAAGAGCGACCCCAGTCGTTGCAATCCGCTCGCCACGTGGGAGTGAATCATTGCAAACCTCAGGCCTAGTTTACTCCAGACCCTAAAGGTCAGGTCCAAAAGGTCATGACGGCCAATGCCATTGACGTTACCCACACCTCGCCTTCGTGTCATTTCTTCCGCGAGTTACCACCGCTGTTGCAAAGTCAAAATGCGACTTCAAAGCTCTGCCCTGTTACATTATGCAACAGAATGTCTCTATTCTTGTTATACAGTCAACACAGCCCTCGAGCACCGTTCTTACAATTCTCATCACTACCACTACCTGGCTTTCCCGCACCTCCGATTAGCACGGTTAGCTACGTATGGTGCGAAATAAATTCAACATTTCAGTCCTCCCCTTGGTTATCGTGCTGTCGGTACCACTCCAATGCCACCCTGGACCTGCCCTCCTCCATCCTGCACGTCCTACCCATCTATACATCGTATCTAGATCAGATCAAGCCTCCCGTAAATCACGTGACTTGTGTGGTCACCTCCACTCTGAATCCTTCCCCTCAAGGCCATAGCCATGGAGTCAACATTGGGGGGACCAAATCTTCCAGGGAGTTCCCCCCCCCCCCCCCCCCCATTTAAAAAAAAAATCTAAATTTGAAAACGAATTTCCTGCCATTTCCTGCCTAAAATATTTTCAAAAATTGCCTAACACATAGGATAGACTTATGTATTTTTAACAATGTCTAATAGTGTATTACATTGCTCTGTTTTTTTTCTTTTTTACCTTTTCTTGTTTCATTGCATGTAATGGCAGAGATTAGGGATTAATAAAGTACAACCATAACCACAATCATATAAACATAAATTTATTTTATAGCAATATATTGGTGGGGGGGGCATTTTGAGCATATTTGAATATTGGGGGGGGGGGGTGTGTCCCCCCCCCCATATATATTATAATTATGGCCTTGCTTCCCCTCTCCCTGCGCCCCCCCCCCCCGTGAAAATAGACGCCGCTCATTGCAGCTCACGTCTGCTCGCTCCTTCTCCCTCTCATCCCCATCAACTTGGCGCAGTCATCCCTTCTACACCTCCTCCCCTTCCCGCCTCAGCGCTCCTTCTTACAGCTGCTCATCTCTCTGTCATGGGCACTGC